CATCGGCATGTTGAGCTGTGTTTGCTTCTTCGACAACCTCTCCTACGCAGAAGGAGCAGCCGTGCTCACCAGTAAACGCAGGACTTAACTCTGGGGCTAGCTAAGCCTCACACTGTGCCTTTGACTTCTTGTTCTCAGCATATTGTACTCCACTAAATATCATGTGGCATGACTCATTTCACTCAACGTCTTGTCCAAAAGTTACCTTCAAAACAGAATTATATTAAAGGGAACACTGTGCACTATTGGTGAGAGTATAAATGGTTACAACCACTATGGGAAGCAGGGTGGAGATTCCTTCAAAAATTAAAAATAGAACTACCATAAGATCCAGCAACCCCTCTTCTGAGTATATATCCAAAGGAAATAAAAATCATTTTCTCAAAGAGATTATCTACACCTTCATGTTTTTTGCAGCATTAGTCACAGTAGCCAAGATAGAAAAACAACCTACGTGTTCATCAATAGACAATTTGATGAATAAAACGTGGTACATACAGTCAATGGAATATTAACCCCACTGAAAAGAAAGAAATCCTGCCATTTGCTACAACATGGGTGAAGGACAAATACTGCATGATCTCACTTACATGTGGAATCTAAAAAAAGGTCAAAATCACAGTAACAGAGAAGACAGTGGTGGTTACCAGGGGCTGGAAAGTGGAGGGAAGAGGGGAGATGTTCGCCAGAGGGTACACATTTTCAGTTATAAGATTAATAAGTTAAATTTTACTTGTTGATCAAATTTGATGGCATGCGTGGAAGGTTTTGAGAGAAAAGACCCACATGCGAAACCCTTGTCAAGCATCACAGAAGATACAGTTATGATGATAACATGGCCATTGACAACTGTAAAATGTAACGGGCCACAGACACAAAAGACTCTAACCTGATGATGCTTAAGGTGGTCAGAATGGAGGGAGCCTTTCTTGGTGAGCATTTGAACTGAACTTTGGAGTATCAGTCTGGGAGTCACTGTTCCTTGGGGTTCCCAGAAACTGAGTAGAACCATCTACCCTATATTTTACCCATGCCAATAAAAATTCATGCTCATACACTTTGTTCATAAACATTAGATTTTCAGCCATCCCCTGCTCCCACAGTGATTGTAATTTTAGACACCCAGAAAAGGACCAAAATCCATGAAGGACTGAGTTTGCTGGTGACCTGTGCATCCAGCTGAACGCTCACAGCCACATGCTGGAGTGATGGGGTTGACCAGTTCACCCAGACTGTATCCATGTCTCCCCTCTTCAGAGGCAGGCACAGGGATCCATTTGAGAACGTGTTTTGTGGATTGAAGGGGAGAATCAAAAACGCTTCTTTCGGAGACCCTTAGGGACAAACTGACTTTGAATGGAGGAGTAGGAACACTTCCTTCTCTGGTGTGTGTGTTTGTGCCTGTGTTCTCAGCTTGATTCTGAACTCTGCGAGGCTGTACTGTGGTGGATTCACTCTGCCTCTTAGGTGCAAAAGGAGGAAGGAATGAATAATGATAGCTGCCGCCTGTAGTACTTACTCTGTGTCAAACACTTGACGATAATCCTAAAAAGTAGGTGCCATTACTATCAATCCCATTTTGCAGAAGAGGGAACTGAAGCACAGAAAGGTTAAGTAACTTGCCCAAGATCACACAGCTCATAAGTGGCAGAGCCAGGATTTGAATGGCATGATCTGATTCAGTTAGCCACTTTCTTAACTACATCACTACCCCAATCTCTGTATATTAGGGGCTGGAGAAAGTGATGGAGCCAACGGAACATCTTGAGGGCAGAACCAAGGTAGTGTCACTTTTTGGGTGGCCCAGAGTGCCTCCCATTGGGTGGCCAGTTCTCAAGGAACATTTCAGGTGCTGAAGGAAGTTGGTGAGTCATTTGCTGAAACAAAATCTGCAGAGGACACTAATGTGGGCCCTACAATGAGCACAAAGCTCTAACTTTAAGACCTGAGTTTACAAACCAGCTCCCTGGCCTACCTTTCAGATGATGACAATAAAGATAAATAAACTTAGTGGGGCAATTCTGGAAATGAACTACTCTTAAGAATCTCATCCAGAAATGAAGCAACCAGTTAATTTGGGGACCAAGAGTCACTTTTCAGTAGGTATTTACTGTGGGTTCCAAGGTGCACTGGGCCACTGAGGACTTGGGAGGTGTGTGTGTCATGGCTCCTGTCTGTGGGAAGCTCCCAGTGAGACGGGCAGGTGCAGGTTCCTCACCCACGCGGAGGCCGCTTTAGGCTGCTTCGGGAGCTGGCTGTGATCGGTCAGTCCCGGCCTGTGCAGGGCAGCGTGGCTTCCCCTGCTGCGTGTCGGGCCAGCCGTGACCTGCAGAGGAGCATTCCGGTGATGTGGCTTCTGGCTGGAGGAGCTGACTCCCTGTTGGCTGAGGGCCAGGCCCCTGGCTTTGTGATTTCTGGCACGATGGCAGTGCCGCAGCAAAGGGCGTCAGAGGCCAGCCGAGTGGCAGGAGCCATGCTCCCTGTGGAGAACTGACACCTCCAGGGCCACGCTCCTGTTCGCCGACGAGCAAGTTCCAAGTAATTAAGTGGATTGGGTTTTCGAGCCATTGTGACCATCAGCTTGGACATCATTGCCGAGAGTGCCTAGCAGGTCCCACAGCTGGCTCGGCAGCCAAACCAACATTGTGGGCTGCCCCTGCCCTGGTGTCCCCTCTGCCTGGAGGGGACCGATGAGGGAGGACACTCAATGTATTTGGAAGATCTCGTTTATGAGGAGCTAATTCCTCTCTTTTGAAAAAAATCTTTATTGCTGAGAGTATTACAGATGCTCCCCCCACCCATTTAATTCCTCTCTTTTAAATTCCGTGTTTGCCACCAATCACAGCTTTCGTGGTATTGGGACTGTCATGGCAACTAAAAGCATATCTGAAAATAAAATGTCACATATTTTTTCATTTCCACTGTAATGACACAGGAAAAATGCTTTCCTTTTTGATTTGACATGATAACTAGAGATGAGTAAAAATGTATATGTGTGTGTGCAGCTCGTGTGGATAAGCAGGTGCCATAATGTGTGTGTGTGTGTGAGGGTGTGCACTGGTGTTCACACGGACGGGGCTGGTGTGTGAAACTGTGTGGAGCTGTGTGGCTGTGTAGTGAGTCCTCCTGTGTGTGTCTGAGGACAGGGGCTGACTGAGGTCTAAGATCACACATAGGCTGTGAGTTTTTGAAGACTGATCTGTGAGCATGTGTGTATATGTACAGTACTGGTGTGTGTGTGTCTGTATGTGTGTGTGTATGTCTGAAGACAAGTACTGGTGCATGGATGTGTGAACTCTGTATAGTTTGGTAGGAAAAAGTTTCCGCCTTTCTTTTCGTAGGGTGTCCCCGTGGGAGGTTCCAGCCCAATCGCAGGAGATAGAGCCCCTAATCCTGTATTTCACATCTTTTGAGATTCTTTGTTTTGTTATTTTGGGGGAGAGCCTAACTCCTTGCCACAACTCTCAGAAAACCAGAGATCTTACAGATCAGGAGCATCAGACACCACCTGGCCCAGCTCGGACCTAGATTACGAGGTTTCTGGTCAAGGTGAAAGTTACAAAGCACAGAGTCTGTGTGTCCATCACTCATTCATTCCAGTAACTGACACATGCTATGCATAGAACTAGCTTATCTCATTTGACTGGGACGGGGCAAACGGATTCACAACCATAATTTACAACACTAATGACATCCACACACCTCGGCAGGGCTGCATGCTTCCCAACTCATCTTCTGGGTCCGGGTCCTGTGGGCTGGCTTCCACAGGAGAACACTTCCCAGGTGTGAAAATGTACCTCCGGTGAGATCAAGAGGCTGGAAGCAGAGCAGGGAGCCTCTTCCCAGGATGCGACGTGCAGGTGCTGAGCAGCGAGCACGGGCACGGCCTGCTGCTGGGACGGGCCACTGCCCACTGCCCGCTGCACTGTGCAGCCCCCCGCCCCGGGGCTGGCTTTCTCAGGCCGGGACCCCATCCATGATGACAAGGCTCATTCTTTTCATCACCAGAATTCCTCCACTTAAATTCTGTACTTCACATCTCTTGAGATTCTTTGTTTTATTATTAATGTTTAAATGTCAATAAAGAGGACCAATATTGATTAAGTATGAGTTAGTAAGAGTTTACTGAGCACAAATTATTTTAAGGTTGTCCCTGCCTGGGCCCAGATGACACAGCACGCATCCGAATTACTCTCCGCCTAGAGCTGTCCTCAGTGCAGTGTTGGGGGAAGAGAGGGACAGAGATCGTGTTCAGCAACAGGGGTCGGCACAGATTCGGGGTGCCTTCACCTCGCCTGAGTGGATTCATCGAGGACAAGTAGGGGTTAACCAGATGTCAGGGAGAGATGGTGCATCCAAGGGACCCAGAGGCTCCGTACGGGTGGGAAGCAAGTCTGCACTGGTCTGGCCAAGGGACTCTTGTCCTGGCTGCTCTCCGCTTTGTCTAAGGAAGTGAGGGTGACGCGGCCTTGGGATCATGAACAGCAGCACAAGCCTAGGAGGTTTGGCAAGAATCCGCTCCCTAAGACGGCTCTCTGTAATTTGCCCCCAACTTTGTTTCTGTGGCTCTGTTGGTGTCAACAGCAAGGAAACAAATTATGCTGGCAAGGAGCTGGGCTTTCTTGCAAGTTGCAATCACATCGGCGGCTATAGCTCTCTCCGCATCACTTACACTACAGCAGTTCCCACGGGAGTGAATGGAAAAGTACCTGTAAATATTAAGGCTGGTTTCAAAGGCACATTATTGGTTTATTGTGTAACACCCTCTGGTGACATTGAGGCCTTATTAATAACTAAACATCTGTCACAACTGTAATTATATTTCTTGTGTCAGGATTGTGTTTCTATCATTGTCCTGTTTAAACACGGAAGGGAGGGTGTGAATTATTTAGGCAACTGACTTTAAGTAAATAATCAACCAGCACTGTGCAGGCAGTAAGTTTCTGTCAACTCCTTGCAGAGTCTCAGTGTCACCGCTGACGTTCCCTTGATGTGCTCACAAATCTCTCTGAGACCATCGCCCTGGACCCCCGATGCGGCTGCCCGAGCAACCTGGAGAGGGGAAGACTGAGAATGAGGAAAAGGGGGGCAGAGGAGCCCCTGGAGGGGGAGAGGAGCCGCCGAGGAGCCAGGCCCCCAACTTCCCCACTTGGCAAGTCTTCTCCCCCCAAACCCCCTGCAGAAACGAGCTTTTTCAAGTGTTTGCTCAGGACTTGATTGTTTTCTGCCCTCAGGTAGGGGGTGGCGTGGGGGCTGGGAGCCTTTGCTGCTGAGTGTCGGGGGGAGAGGAGACCTGTGGACAGGACATCTGGGCGGGGTCCTGAGAGGACACATGTCTGAGCTGGGTACAGAGATGATGTCTTGAGATTAACAGGTTCAAGATGTGTGGTGGGTGAGGGGATGGGTTTGAAAGCTGACTCTGTCAGGTACTGATTAGGTTGGGGTGATACTCCTTGTTAGACAAACAACGACAAGATGCCATTTATAGAGTGGGACCATGTGTCAAAGTGGAAGTGGAGTGTTGCATAGATGATTTCAACTAATCCTTAGAGTAACCCCGTAAGGGTGTTATTTTGATCAACTTGCTGCAGATGGCACAGGCACAGGTAAACCCATGATTCCTTTCAGGGATCTCTGAATCCAAAACTGACAGCGGTAACCACTGGGCAACCTGGCCCTTCCTTACCTGTAGGTGAGGAGGTCAGTTCAGAGGGAGGGGCTTTATGTCACCAAGCCACAGGCTTTCCTGGCTTTGATCCTGCTCTCTTTCTTCTCCTTGGAGACATTCATTGCTGTATAAACTCAAGAGGAATTTCAACTTGGGGTGGTTTTGTAGAGAAGGAAATTTTGATCTGTGTGATGCAGGCATTGAGGGGTTGGTCTGTGGTGAGTCCTATACAAGGGTATGTTCTGAAATGGTCTCCTTAAGGCTGTTGGAATGGGGTCATCAGCTCTCTCTGCCACCAACTCCTAATGGTGACCTAATGTGTTTAAGGGTGGGGGCCACCAATTTAAGTTTAGGCTTATGAGGAAAAAAAGTAAATAGAGATATTTCTGACTATAGCTCCTGATTTTTAGCAATTTCTCTCAGGAGCTGGGGGCTGAGCCCAGCACACGATGCTGTAAGAGACTATTCAGAACATTGTCCAGCTACAACTCATTGTTTGGGAATTCGAAGGTGGGAGCTGATGAGATCCCTGGCCCAGGGCACGTTGACCTGCAGGGTGAGCCCTTCTCATTTGCTCTGGGGAAAGGTCTGGAAGAGGGCGACATAAAATGTGGAATGACGTAGGCTGCAGGGCAGGCTCAACATGAGTTCTGCTCAGGAAGGTTGGACAGGGACCAGAGCAACCTGGGCTGAGCCTCCTCATGTCAGCTCCCCCCTTCCAAGAGAGGAACCCTGCTAGGGGGCATGGTCTAGTCTAAGCCAAGGGAAATTCCTGTTGGCCGTTCCTCGGGCTGGGATACATAGCATCCTGGACACTTGTCCTGGGAAAGGGGGGCATGTTGAGGAAAAGAGGGAAAGACTGGGGATGACAAACATTTCTGCATGCCATACAGGGGCTGTGACAAATGACGAAGATGGCTGATGTTGCAGAGGAAAGGGACGGGTTTCCACCTTAGTGGATCTGAAGGTATCACACAGCAAACAGACAAAGAAGTCTGATGGAGTCAGAAAGATCCCTTTTTTCTCAATGTACTCCCCAACTCAAAATATATTTTCCCATTTGTTCCTGTGACTTTGGGATTTAGAATTTTGGGGCCAGAATGGTGACGGGCACAAATTAGGCAATTTAGTTTCACCTGTCTCTGGGAGTAGCAATAACCAAAGTGGAATGAACCAGCTTTCCCCAAACCATCAGCTCCTCCTTGGGACTCTTTTTGGACCCAGGGCTGTGGGTCTCTAGGGCTCCTGGCTTCTTCCCATCACACATTCATACCCACACCATACACAAACACACAGCTAACACTTTTGCTTACTCCTTCCTTGAGAGCATACCTACCCATTTCTCAAAGATTTCTTGGTGCATTGGGCAGGGAGATATAGCTAAAAAGGAGATGGATGAGATGGGGCCATGGGAGGGAGTCCCATTGTAGTGGCCTCAGCACCAGGGATTGGCGAGGAGGTCAAGGCCACACAGCTCATCTGGACCATGTCCTCACAGCAGGGTTCAGCAGTGACCTCTCTCAGAGTGCACTGCCTCCTGTCCTTCAGTCACTTGGCTGGGACCTCCTTCTGACAAAGCAATCTGAGGAGGTTGGGTGTTGGGTCCAGCCTCCCCAGATCTCAAGCCCTCTAAGCAGTTGCCTAGGTGGCTGGTGTGGGCAGGGTAGGCACAATGAGGAAGTAGGGAGGAGTTTCCTCAACATGTCCCATCTGCTCACCCCAGATCGTTTTCACACTTCCTGGTACCATTTTGGTTGCCTTAACCGAAGTCCCGTAGAGCCCCTAAGTGAAAAGAGTAACATGTTAGAAAGACGTTAGGCAGGGGTTGGGGGAGGTATCTCAGAGAGCACAAGGCCTCAGGGATGGCTAAATCGAGGGCCTAGAGGGATTTTGAAAACCAAATAAAGCTGCTTTTTTCTGCCTGTCCACACCTCTCTGGTTTCTCTGACCAAGTGAAAATTATTCCTGTCAAAAAGTTTCCAATTTGACATCCAGCCTCAGCTGGGAATAAGTATTGGTTCAATTCCAAATTCCCTGTGAACAGGCTCATTGCTGCCCACTCCTGATCAAATCAACAGTGTTCAGGGGCGGAGGGTCACGGGTTATGAACATGGCTGCTTCCACTATAAATGTGTGGATGGAAAAGGAGAGAGGCAATGACCAGAGTGGTGGGGCACTTCTTCACCCCAGTTCCTGAGATGTTGGTTTTGTATTCTATTCTTGAAGTTGGTTGGCTCTCAACTAGGTGCTGATCAGGTGCTTGCCATTAATGCTTTAAGTTGCAGTCTTTAGAAGAAGGTGGTCCCACGAGACCCTGAGGAGTGAACTATCACTGGTGGATAAGCACAGTGGACGGGGCACTACACTGGAGTGTGGAGAGTGACCTTATATAGAAGGCAGGGGCTGGAGAAGTAAGACCTACTCTCAGCCTTCCTCCCACTGCAGAATCCCCCAGACTGTCTATTCCTGTGTCTTTGCCAAGGTGTGGTCAGACTTTCTCTTGACGTGTCTGGAGAAGACCCCCTGTAGATGGAGACCTCTTTCTCTTCTGCTTTGTTCCCCAAGAATCTCCCAAGGGCACACAGCAATAAAGCCCTGACTTGACTCCTCAATCTGGTGGCCTGAAAGGATGGTCTTCAACTTTTGTTCAGACTATGAGATCTGGGGCTCTTTGGGTCAACTACAGAGCTGACTTATGAATGGTCAGTAAGCCCAGGAGGCCAGCTGGAAGAGCATCCCCGGGGAACAGAGAGATACTTAGGTGGCTTCAACAATCTACAGCTAAGTAAACAAGCCTACTACTATGGTGCTGCTCCAAACCAATCTGAAGGAAGCTTTTCTAATGGGGAGAAATAAATGTGCATTATTGATATATGAGCTAAGAATAACCATGTTCCAAACAAAGTGTTTTTTAGTATTTTGAAATAAAAACGTGTAGACAAAGCAAGGAATTAGAATGCATGACTCATTGCTGACTCTGAAAGCAATGAAAATTCAAAGGGAATTTTTCTCTCCCTATTTCTCCCTCCCACCCCTGTTCTGAATAGCTTATAAAAAGAGTCTCTACATAAACAGGACCCATAAACTCCTCCATGATTTAAGGTTCAGCACAGTGAGAGGAAGAAGGAACTCAACTTTTATTGCTTGGTGACTAAGCTGCCCTCCCCAGCTAGACGGGAATCATTGAACAGAGTCCCCCATGGCCTGCCCATCCTCATTTTTCCTCCTCCTGTCTTTCTGTCATGTCCCTACAGGTACCCAGGGTATTCCATGTACCCACTGTGGCCACTGATTCCTCCCCTCCCCCCCCAATGCCTAGCTCTGCTGGACCTCAACAGACTCAACTCATCAACCTTGACAAGGATGTTTCATCAATAAGCATTAGCTCTAGGGGCTACATCTTAGGGAAGAATGCATACTGTATGGTATTGTAGCAGAATGCAGTAGTGGGCATCTCCGTCAACTCACTGGTTGGCCCTGGTCAATGGTGTTCAGTTTGTTGTTGTTGTTGTTAACTCTCACCCAAGGATAGTTCTCCATTGATTTTTAGAGAGAGTGGGAGAAGGGCAGGGAGGAAGGAAACATCCCTGAGAGAGATCCCTGATTGAGGTGGAGATCAAACCTGAAATTCAAGTATATGCTCTTGACTGGGATCCAACTTGAGACCCTTTGGTCCATGGGCTGATACTCTAACCACTGAACCATACCAGCCAGGGTGGTGTTCAGGTTTATTTTTTCTCACGAAACCTTTCTAAAATAAATCTTATGGGAATTCAATACTTAAAATATAAAAAAGAGAACCCATTGTGGTTGGAGCAAGGTGTGTGTATCTGTGTGTGTGAGAGAGAGAGGATGGGAAGGCCCCCCCAGGACCCCTGAGAGGAACAGTAAGATGTTTTACTTGAAGGAACTATTGGTTGACCTTCATAGCATGATTCCTTAAGAAGTGTGTAAAATTCTCACCTCTGACCTTTCCTTGCTGTCACCTGCTTTCCTTGTGATTAATCCCATGCTCCTTGAATACTTCAGCAACTTGTTCAGTCTTATATCTGCCCCAAGTCCTATGAGGAAACTGAGATGACCATGTGGATGACCAGGCAACATTTTTCACCTCACATTGCCCCAACTTCGTAACTTTCTTTCCTTCTGACTTTCTCACAGACTCCACCTTGCTCTTGTTACCCTCTAGAGTACCCCACCTCTGAGAGCTCATACTGAAATACTCTTCTCTTTGGCAACCTTCTTTACAGTTGTTTACCACTGCTAGTTCTAGTTTGGGATGAGTAGCATATTGAGAGAAAACCCTACACAAATATGGGTCATGGATCGTTGACCCTACATACTCATACCTTCAACTCCAATAGGTCTTCGGTGTGGCTCAGCAGTTCTTCCAGTGGTCAGGTCTCATCCCCATTCTCCACCATGACTGTTTCAGCCTCTATCCATTCTTCTAAAAACGATGTTACTTTGTCATTCACATGAAATACA